TATTTTAAGTATTTTATTCTTTTTAACTATGACTAATAAGAAAAAAAAAAGAAGTAATTCATCTATCCCCTGAAGTATGATTTATTTCAATTTTTTGTTATAAAAATTTTTTTTTCTTTAAAAAAAAATCAATGTTATGATTGGCAGGCAAAGATGTTCAACTGGGGACATAGTCTCATCAATTATATCCCGCGGCCAACCGAAGATCCAGCGCAGCCGCGCTCCAAGCCCGAAAAGAAGGGGAGGACAAGCGGGACTCGCCCGGGCCTCCCTCCCTCCTCGCCCCCCCCCCACCTCTCCCCACCATCTGACGAGTCCTTGGGCGGTTTTAAAAGGGTTTAAAAACCATAAATATGTTAAAAGGAAACAGATGAAAAAAGTAAGGGGAACCTCATTGCACATCTAAATTTAAAAATTTGAAAAAAAACTTTTTAAAAAACCCCCAAAAAATTGGGGCAAAAGTTAACAATATTTTCGTCTGCTTGCTTTTAGAAATTGAACTCGGGGGACTATTACAGCGCTGGGCCGCAGTCGAAAAGAGATCAGCGGAAACCTCAACAACTTCTCCCTAGATGGTACGTTTACCTTTCCGCCTCTTTAGTCCCCCTGACGGGCCGGGACTCCTTTTTGGTTTTTTGGCCAATTTACACGTGTAAATTTCAAGTGTCCGCTATTTTCCCCCCTTTGGTTTCCCGTACTGACGTCAGGGGAAAAGAGCAATCCCCCTTTTTTGTCCCCTCAAAAGGTAAGGAATGTGAGGTGTTGCAAAAGTGTGCGTAAATTAACCGTACAAAATTGTTTGTTATATCGTGTGCCGAGTTATGTCGCGTGTTTTTTCCCCCCCGCCTAGCATTTTAAAGTTGTGGAAGGAAGCCTATAATATCGACTCGAAGGATGTGAAAAAAAATAAAGCGACGAACTAACGTTTTTTCAGTCGGGGGCGTTACAGACGGTTTAACATTTTAGTCGTAAGCCGGCTTTTCGCAACTCCCCCAAAAACCCCCCTTCTACGGTACAATACGACATCATCGTTCATTCGTCATTAACCGTCACTTAACGTCACCTCAGTTTTCAAAAACCAGCTTTGTCCGTCCTACGGGGGGCCCCCCCCGTGTTCGACTCGATTTAATCGTACGTCGTCTCCTCGGGAAACCCGGAGACCTGGGTGCGTCTCTAAACCAGCACGTTCGATAAGGAAGCTGCGGGGACGCTGAAAACAACTCGTCGCCCCTCGACGACGGGGGCATTCCCTCGCGGACAAAGGGTGCCGGGAAAGGCGCGGACCCAAGCAGGGCCCGCCTCCACCAAACGGGCGGCCGCAGGGCGTGTCCCCCCCCCCCGCGCACGCCTCAAGGCCCTTCTCCGCGCGCCACCCCACCTCCTCCTCCAGCCCCGGGACGACCCCCAAGCCGCGCGTGGGCCCCCCCCCCGGGCGCCACGGGGCGACTGCGACACTCCGGGGAGAACTGCGGCCGGGCCCCGCCGCGCCCCCCCCCCCAGCCGGCCCCCGCCGCCCCCCGGGCGCAGGCGCCGGGCCCGGGCGGGCCCAAGCGTCGTCCCCTCGCTGGGCCGCTCGCCCGAGCGCGGGGGGCGTGCCCGCCTCCCCCGGGGGAGGTGAACTTTCCGCTCGCCCCCCGCGGGGGCCCGGGCGGCGGGCTGCCCGGACCGTGGCCCGGCGCCGGGGGGCCCTCGCGGGCCCCGGTGGGCGGCCCCCGGCCGCGGGGCGGAGCCCGCCCCGGCCCGCGCCCACCCACGGGCCCCCCCGTCGGCCCGCCCCGCGCAAACCGCCGAGCCAGGGGTGCGCGGGCCCGCGCGCCTTTCCCCTAGACGTGCCGTGCCCCCGGGACGTTTCCATAGCCCCGGGGCCCCCCGACGGGGGGGCGGTGACGCGTGCCGTTCCAAAAACCCGTCCGGTACGAGTCTTTTCTCTGCACCCGGTTTACCGGGTCGTCGTTCTAAACCCTTTCGAGAGAGGCATTTTTGATTCGATAAATCGACTGAGTAGATTGGGCACATACTATCTATATTGTAAATATTAGAAAGTAATACTCAGAGTCTTTTATTGTTCTTATGCATGTTCAAATTAGAAATTCCATGCAAAAATTTACAATATTTAGAAACATTATCTCGAAAAATGAGAAATAGGTTTATAGCGGTTATACTGAAAAAAGAGAAGAAGAATACTAAAACAAAACGAAAATTAATAAATTGAAAAATTATAAATCAGTAGTGCAAACGTTTTATTAGCGGGACTAGAGGGGGAATTTATCGGTAATACACAAAATTCAAATCTAGTGGAAACGCAGAGAACAGCTACTAAATAAGCCAAAATAAAATATTAGTGACAGAATAATGAAGCGCGGGGGGTACAGAGGGGAGGAAAAGAATCGGTGACGGAATGCAAAAAAGGGTTTAGGATGTTTCGTTATCGACGAACAATAAAATAACGGAAAACGATGCGCAACCCTTTTGAGGAAGAATAAAGGTGACTCCGTTACAAATTTTACCCGGAAACCCCCCCCTTACGTACAGACTACATGTATAGGGGGTGCGTGGACGCGGGGAGAGTGCAAAACAAAATGCATAATACACAAAAATAGTGGGTTTTTGTAGGGATTAGAGTAACATGGAACCGATAGGATGGTGCCCCCGGGACCCTTTAAAATTTTTTTCGTATAAAAGTGATTTGAACCCCCACGGGTAGGATTTTGACCCCGCTACGTAACACCCTTTGATGTAAGTTAAATAAAAGTTAATTTAGGACCTACAGGAGTTTAAAAAATAGAGGTTTAATGTTATGTATTTATACAAAATGCATACATCACCTACTTGCCGGGCGCAATAGATTTAGCTGTTTTGAAACTTATGCACAATTTCTCAATAATAATGTAGAAAAACTTGTACAAATTTAAAAAGTTACCTTATTGTGTCGCCTCTGATAACAAAATATGTGTGAGTCAACGGCGTTGATTAATAATTTGTGTTTGTCAGAGCCCTGTAGATGTAAACGCTTCAATTTCGTTTAGGAAATATAGGAGCTGTTTAAATTGTAAATATTGAACGCAATACGTATTATGTAATTTTAAAACTATTCACTTATGATAACTAATGTTATACATGTATTGGTTTTATGTACGTGTCTGAAAACATCGGCTCCAGTTAACGGGCGACTAACAAAACACTACATTAAAGTGAAATAATAAACGTGATCCCTCTTAGCTTTGTAAAAATTGTACATTTCTTATATTTTTAATTTTAATTAAATTTTGTTATCGTAGCTTTGTTGAATGCAATTATTTTTTATTGTTTTGTTTATAAAAAAAGTATTTTAGGCTAAATTCAATTGTTATTTATTTTGTGAGAGATGTAAAACGTGATTCGGCACAAATTTATGAAAAAAATGTAATTATTATTGTAAATAATTTCGTTTGACAAAATGATGATTTAGACTTTCGTTCTTTAACTTTTTTAAAAATTTTTTACCATCTTTTACGTTAAGGGCGATCTCAAGTTTGTTGAATGTTTGCAAAACGTTCCTTTTAAAGTTTATTTGTAAATATATCATTTAATGTAGGAACAGTGAATTTTCTAATTTTACTGAATCGTATTGTACGTTAGCCGGTTAGATGGCAGTAGTGAGCGGAGCGCCGCTCGTTACACGTTAAAAAACAAAATGTCCGCCGAGCGACGGACCCGGGTGTCTGCTTGCAACAGATTTGATTCAATTAATCTATTCATGTTTCGTGTAATCACTATTAATTCAAATAAACCCCTTTAAAGACATTTTGCAAATGTGGGTCAATCCAGATTTTCAATATTTGTCATTGTGTATATTTGGAGAAATGAAAAAAAAATATTGAACAATTAAAAGTCTTTTATTTCGTTATTAAGAGATTTTGTGTTTTCCTAATCCACTACTTTTACCCCAACTTTGGCGCGACTACTGACACCGCAATGGGTGGCGCAAAAGGGGGCCGTACAAACGCACCTCGAAACATCAAGACACATTCCGCAAACATTTTAGAAGGTTATCTAAAGGGGGTTTCATCAATTCGCAATTATTACACTTTTTTGACACTAAAAAAACCTATTAAAAAAAAACAAATATTTGTTTTTTTTAAGAAAATTAAAGTCACTAATAAACCTTTTAAATTTAAAGTCGCTACAAAGTATCAATGTTTTTTGTTGTGATTGATGGTCCCGTAACAAAAATTTCATCTTTTACTTGCTTGATAGATGAATCTACAAGCAAGATATAGATTAGTGTAAATAAGTGAACGGTGATTTATCATTCTTTTTGCGGACGTGGTTAGGGTTCCTGGGTAGGGGGTTTGACTTTTATTAAAGTTTTTTTTTTATTATTTGTAAGATTACTGAAAATAGGCGAAATAGAGGTTTTTAATTTTACACCACCATAAATTTTAACAAAAAACTTAAACATTTATTGATCAAAATTATTTTCTTTCCCAAGATCACGGCCCGACCATTTTAAAAGCTTTTTAGAATTGTTTTTAAAGTTTCAGATAAGGAAACCCAAATTAGGGGAAAAAAGATAAATATTTTTTGTAAACTATCGGATCAAGTTTTAAAATTTAATTTATTTGTTTTTTTTGTGTGCGTTACCCCAGAAAAATAATGTCGAAAAGGTCTTTTAAACTTTATAGATAATTATTTGCCCCCCTTCTGTAATTTTTAAAGCCATTTTAAATTTGGTTTCACTTAAATTTTTTTAGTTATTTCAAAAAAACATTCCGCTGGAGTAACGTTTGAAACTTTCCCGCAGCCAGAATTTTTTTTTTTAATTGTAATTTGAAAAAATTTTAGCTAAATTTAGTTATCTGGACTGGGAAATGTTACAACTTTTTGGGTATTTGTATTTTTTCGGGGGGAAAGTTATTCAAAATCCTGCTGGAGAACTTTTTGGGGTTTTTGCTGGATTTTAAAACGGGTAAGGGGTTTTGTAAATCTTTTGACAAAACTTTTTAAGGTTTTAAGTTTTAATTGTTCGACAATAAAAAAATAAAAATAATGGACCGTTTAAAAATTTTTTAGGTAAGATGAAAAACATTTAAATAGTCTTAACACTTTAAAAAAGGGACCTTTAAAATATTTTGAAACGTTTTTCTATTGTTTAACTACCTTCAAATGTATACGAATTTTTTCTAAGAATACTGTAATGATAAAAATTTATGATGAAATGTAGCGCTCCACGTCAGATCAAAATGGTGCGGCCTTTTTTGGCCACCGAAAAACCTGTGTGTGGATATAAAAAACTGAATTTTATGCCAAAAATTTTAGTTGTTTGTTCAGTTGACTACCGAAAAATTCAGCGTAGTACATAAAAATTTCGGGATAAAAAACTAAAAGTCTTAGAAGGTGCAAGCCCGGGGTAACCCCCAAAATGTTTAGGGGGTTTAAAAAAAGCGATCACCCTAATTGTGGGGCTTTTAAAATATGTAGGAATTTTTTGAAGTTATAGGGATTGTACATAAGGGTTTTACAAAAAACTACATGTTTTTAAATATTTTTTTTTAGGATTGTTTTTTTTGCAAAATTTTATAATCACCCGGGGAGATTGGTATTTTTTAAATGCTTTTTTTCTCGTAATGTTAGGTAATTGTTTTATAGTTGTTTAGAATTGGTACCTGCTAGTATTTTTTAATTGAAATTTAATTTAGGGTAGGTATAGGTAATTTAAAAAAATAAATGAAAGATCAGTTTGAAGAGTTAACGTTGCGTTTTTAAATAGGTATTTTGTGAAAAGAGGGGGTTTTTTTTTTAAATGATGAATCGATTAGGCTAGCAATCGCGAACAAACTCTGTATTGCATATTTCGAAAATGTTGGGAAAATAAAATATTTGATCACAAAAAACGCGGGAGTTAAAAATTTTAATAAAATAAATTTTAGAAAATTTTAATAAGTGATTACCCACCTAAAAGTTGTCGTTTTAAATTGTTCACCCCGAACGAAATTTCAAAAATTAGATTGTAATTAAATCCTAACAAAAATTTACAATTTCTTAAATTGAACGAATTAGCATAATGCCCCATTATTAGTAATTAGGGACCCCATATTTAAGAACTTCAAAATACGATAAATATTTGCAAAAAAGAAAACGGAAGCGACCGACTTTTAAAAACTATATACTGCCTAAAGGGGCAAATTTTGTGCATAGATGCAAATTCAAACAAAGAAGTATCCCTTTGCCCCCCCCCCCCGCGTTCTAGCGAAGGGTTATTTTTCAGCGATTCTGATTTACAAAATTATTGACCAATAATTTTATCTATAAAAAAGTATCACTTTTACTCGAAAAATTAAAAAAACCGTTATTATTCAAAATATCATTCAACAACTGTTTGTTTTTAAAAGAATCAACAGTAACGGGCTCAACGCTTAAGTTGGTACATAGGTATAATAATTTCCGGTCTAGGTATAGACCACAGAACAATTACTACTCTTACGAGGTACACTCTGTTTTGGGGGGATTTCAATGTTGAGCATTCAATTTACAACCTTCAATTTATTCTAATTTTTTCTTTCATTCGGTCTATTTTAACTTATTGTAATAACTTGTTGCTTTAAATATTTGATGCATTTAAATTAAGCTCTATACACCCAAATAAATACAATTACTTTAGTGTTATTTCTTTACAAAAAAAAAAAATCAAAAAAAGAAACGATTTCTATTGGGTTTTAATTTTCGTTTTTGCAGTCAGGTGAAAACGTTTATACTTTTTTACTATTTTAATTTTTGCGGGCCAGTGCGATTTTTGTTGATTTTTGTCCGGTAGTAAAAAAGACTAAAAAAATTTTAAGTAAAAAAACTAGGCTTAAGATCAATTAGGGGAAAAAAACAAAAAAAAAAAGGGAATAATAATAATAAAATTTAATGTATTTAACCCTTAGCAAATGTACCGAAATCGTAAGGTGATCAACCAAACATTTTTAAAAAACAGGCAAAGTATGGGTGGAAACGCTTTTTTTTAACCACCTAAACAGGTCGGATTTCCCGGGCTTTTCACCTTCTAAAGATTTTTTTTAATTATCTCGTAAATTTTATATGTACGACGCTGAAAATTTTACGGTAGGGCAACTGAACTAAACCACAATTATTGGGGATAACATTCATTTATATATCCCCACACAGGTTTATCGGTGGACAAAAAAGGCCGCACACATTTTTATCGGAACGTGGAGACTACATTTCATCATAACTTTTTTGTCACTTACAGTATTCCTACGAAAATTTCGTATACATTTGAAGTAGTTACAAGCAATAGAAAAGTTTTAAATAAGTTTAAAAGGTCTTATTTAAAGTGTTTTGGAGTATTTTTGTGTTTTCAACTTACCTAAATAATTTTTAAACGGTCATTTTTTTGTTTTTTATTGTCGAACAAATTAAAAAATAATCCTTAAGAAGTTATGTCAAAAGATGGTTACAAACCGCTTACCCCTTTCAGAGATCCCGCAAACCCAAACTTTCCCAGCAGGATTCGAATAACTTCGCAACCCAAAAAAATACAAATACCAAATAAGTTGTAAAAATTTACTAGTCCCGATACTAATTTTTTAGCAAAAATTTATTTCAATATTACAATTAAAAAAAGGAAAAGTCTGGTGCGGTAACGTTTCAAAGTTCCCCCGCAGGAAATGTTTTTTTTAAATAACTAAAAAGTTTTAAATGAAACAAATTTTTAAAAAGTGCTAACAATTACAAAGGGGGGCAACTAATTTTCTATAACGTTTAAAGACCTTTTCGACATTATTTTGTGGGGAACCAACGGTTTTTCTAGCCACCAAATTTTCAAGTATTTAAAGTTAACCCACCAAGCTAAGAAATTGTTTTGTTGAACCCACGATCTCTCGATCGCAAGTCCAATTCTTAAACCCCTAGGGTGTTTAAATTTTTCCCCCTAAAGGGGGATATCAGGAGACAGAAATCCCATACCAGCGAAATCAGGCAGTTTTTTTTTGTAAAAATTAAATATAAAAATCAAATTTTTCTCTAATAAACCCTTTTTTCTCACGATTATATCTTTGTCTCCGCTCACCCTTGTCTCCTATTGTTGGTCCCCCAAAATCTTTCGTAATAAATCTTTCGAAATTCTACTTGCCGAACGTAAGAACGTTTCGGCAAGTAAGAATTTCTCTTCCTCCTTTATCGTTAGTGTCCAAGTGTCGCATCCATACATCAAAATCTGTTTTGTAGACTCGGATTTTAGTGGTCCTACTTATTAATTTAGATACTAGGACTTTGTAAATGAGAATTAATGAGAGATAATTTAATGTATGTATGAAGATGCTTTTGCAAACTTGTATGCTAATTATAGTTCAGAAAAATGAGAAAATTTAAGATCATGTAGTAGTAAAAGATAAGATAAAGAGGACCCGACCTTATTCTCACGGACCCCGGGGGCGACTCCTCAAAACACCGTCCCGTCCTTGTACATGACGGTACGCTCCTCTAAATAGTACGCCCGCTGCCGCCTAGGTAAACCCCCACCCCATGTTAGTTTAGTGCTTCCCTGTTGCACCTAAATGGCAGACTGTCTCTCTGTCCAACAACAACGCCAACAGCACGCCGCCGCTTCTTTGGTCACGGCTCCAGGCGCAAAAACAGCACCGACAGTCGGCTCGGAATCGAATTGCGAGTCCGACAAACCGGGGCCGACCTCGCGCAACTGCTGGACGATGCGGGCAGAGAGTACCTCTCAAGATGGGCCTGTAGGCCGCGACCGAATCGACGGCCGTCCCCACTTCCTCAAAAGCGCCAACTTCCCGTCACCACTTCAATCCCTGTGCTAGGGATCAACGATACTAATAAATTTAGTTACGATTTATATTGAATGATTTAATGATATTTATTTCTGTAAGTAAATCTTTTCGATATTTTTACAAGTCGGTTTTATTAATATAGTTGCGCCCGCGTGTTACCTCGTGTTGTTGGTGTACATCCAGAAGCTTTAAAGCGGAAGAGTAACAGCAGACAGAAGACGACACACTTCCGCATTTATAATATTAGTATAGATTTCGTCTAACTCTGAAAAAATTTTGGCTTAATTGAGCGTTCGTAATTTTTTGAGAATGTTCATTTAAATATAATATTGGCTAAGTCATTAGAAAAAAAAGGAAAATGGAATCCAACTAAAAATAACTAAACCCAAGTGCAATATTTATTAGCATTTTTGTTTTAACCACATATAATTATATAGTTGAAAAAATTTCATCACATCATCATCAAGCCATCGCAGTCCATGCGGACATAGGCCTCTCCCATTCACGCCACTTAGAACGATTTTTGGGGGTTCTCGGTCCAGCTCCTGCCAGCCATCTTGCTAAAACGGCACTCCCCCTGGGCCCGTGGGCGTCCTACCCCTACGTTTTACCGAGACGCGGTTCCACTCAAGAATCGTTTTTCCCCCAAAGGTTGCGGGTTTGCGGGGGAATAGGCCAGCCCACGCCATTTAGCTTGTCAGCAAGCGAAGGGCAGTGGGTGGCCAGGTAGAAATAATTCTCATTTAAAAATTTTTTAAAAGGTAGTAAAAAAAAAAGTTTAAACAATCAAAAAAACATTCTTTGGTGACATTTTAATATTTTAAGTTAATAATTAAACAATACATCAATTGATAGGGAATCAAAAATATTTACACCAAAACGTTACGGAAACAGTAAGTTTTACCCAGGGAATTGTAAATTTACTAATTTGACAAAAGTAAAAAAAACGAATAAAATCTTTAATTCAATAAATATTTAAATATAACAAGTGGCTAATACATAAAACATGTCTTTTTCGGGGATATCATACATGCCTCTCATTCCCTTTTAAATGAATCACACTCTTTGAACCCGGTAATGTCAATCAAATAACCATTAAAATTTTATGCACGATAACTAAAAAAGAGGTTGAGCCGAACAAGAAGCACACTGGGGTCGTTCGCAATTTTTAAACTCAAAAGGTATTTGACATTTTATTGTAAAGAAAAAAAAAGTATATGTGATGTGTGTGTAGAAAACTTGATTCTATGGCAACAACGAAAAAACCGCTAATTTCCCGACAAATCAACGAAAAGGGTATGTTTTGTAAAACTATTTATGAAGCTCTACTAAAAAGCATGAATATATTTTTGTTCGTTACGATTTCGCATTTTCGATTTAAAAATTTTTATTTTTTTAAATTTCCCTATATGTGAGAAAACGGACTCTCCAGTTGTAATCACTCTTTGTCAAAAACCCTTATAAGTTTGTAATTTGTCAAAATCAGAGAACAAATTTCTGTCAAAAAATTTAAATAAACCCTAGACCATCAACACCCTTTTAAGTTCTAAAGACTTTTCAAGTCGAGGTTGAGTTTTTAAATTTTACAAATAAATATCATTTTTCTCACGATAAAAAACCAAACAGTTCTAACAACGTAAGCTATCAATTAATAGAAAAGTAAACCCGATAAAAGTAAGCATAGCATCTTCGCCCGACCTCGCCAAAGGGATTTTCCCCTAATTTAAAAATATTTTTCCCTAGAACAAAAATAGCCTCAAATTTTTTGGCAGGCGCCGCGATTTTGGGTTCCCCTTTTTTTAATATTGTACTGATATTATCAATAATACTACAAATAAATAAAAGAGACCCTTTTTTAAATTTTTGGAAGTTTCATTTAATTTTCCCGCAGTTCGTAAACGGCGGCGGCCCCGCGAGCGCGAGAAAGAAAACCCGAGGGCACAAAATCGAGATCCACGTCAAAATTGCTGCCATTCGCCCAAAAAACAAAAAAAAAGTCTGGATGGGAGCCAGGGGCGGGCGGCGGGAGACGCGGTGAACGAAAAACGGGGCCCGGGGGGAGTTCCTGGCCCCTCAGTGGTGGTACTCTCGGCGGTAGGGGGCACGCGGGTTTTTCCCTGGGGCCCGCCCGGGTCAATCCGCGCGCTCGCCGCGCTGGGCCCGGGGCCCGGGGTTTCCGGGCCCAAACGGGCGGCGTGGGGGCCCCCGCCCGGCCCCCCCCCGGGCCCCGGCCCCGCCGGGCTCCCGGGGAAGTCGAGGGACGGGGTGTTTCAGCAGAATGTGGGAAATAGCGTGTCCTGTCATAAAATGAACATTTTTTTTAAGCAAAGATATTAAGTAGCGTTATAATAAAATTTCATAATGGGAAACCCCCCAAACGTTTTTTTTATAAAATATTAAAAAAACCCCAAAATTGGCACAAAAAAAAGGTTTTAAGTCCAGAATGACCAATTCGAAAAATACCACGGTTTAAAAATTTGTCCATTAGAAAAAAAATTTTTTTAATTCCCCAGAATGTCCAGTAACCCGAAATCTATTTGAAAAAAATGCCAGCTCTCATGTCCATTTTTCCCGAATGTCCAATACTTTTTTTGGTGTGTTTTGTGTCCCAAAATCGAACTCCCTTGCTTTGTAGTATTTGAACCAATCACACTATTTTATAGCAATAAAAAGGGTATTTTAAATTTTGGGTTTGCGACTAAAAAAGCACAACGCACAAGCAAAGCAGCTATATGCATTTTTGGGAGATCGTAAAAACGGGCTCTGTAAAAAAAGGAGCTCCTAAATTACAAAAACTGGATCAATTGTGAATAAAACTAATTGAACATTGGAATAATTTTCGAACTGGAACCCAATTTTGGGAAAAGGGTTGGGGGTAGGACATTTTAGAATAGGACATTTTGGGGGATTGGGGCATTTTTTTTGCGCCCAAAAATTAGGGTAAAATTCCCCAAACCCCCAAATTTTACGTTAAAAAACTGGTGGGAGGCTTTTGCCCCTATTTTAAAAGGAAAAAAAAAAACCAAAAATTAAAATTCGAATCAAAAAGACAATCCTAAATAAAAAAACTCACGCCAGTTTGGTAGAAAACCCTTTATAGTAAAACCTTTTAAAAAAACCTAAACATACTTTTCGTCCATATAAAATTTTTTTAAGTCCTTTTTAATAAAGGGTTTTTAGTTTTACATTTTTGTTAAAAAAAATTGCGAAAAATAGATTAAATTTCTAAAATTCACTCTTGAAAAAAGTTGCTACATCTTTTTTCCAAAAACATAAAAAAAAGCAGGGGAAAAAATTTAAAAACTTTTAAAAACTTTTAAATATTAATCGTGCTATTTAAACTTGTACAAAATAATACCAAATTTTTCAAACCCTGCCATTCTAAAAATCTTCCCAAAGGGGCATTTAACCCAGAATTGTCAATCGGCATTTCATCGGGAAAAAGGGTTTTGTATTAAAAAGTAAAAAAAACAAAAAAAAAAAACGTCTATTAAAAAAAAAAATCGTCTATTTAAAAATTTAAAGATATCAATTCGAGTAAAGAAAAAAAAGCGTATCCTTTTGGAAAAATGTAGTCCCTATTCTAAGAAGTACCGCCCTTTACAGTTTTGACAGATTGAAACAAAAAATAGTGCTCAAAAAAAAACGATTACAAAAATACGATTTTAAGAGGTTTTTTATATCATTTCTTTGTAATTTTCAAATCGATTTTCAGTTTTTCAGATTTTTGTTTTTAAGTAATCTTGAAAATGAAGATTGGGAAAATCAAATCCATCTATGAAAAAAGTTAAAAAAAAAACGTTAAGGGAAGACATATAACACAATAGTTAAAAGGAAAAATGTGTGTCAATAATGGCAGAAAGAAATTTGATATTGAGAAAATTAAATTTGGTTTTAAAAAGACTTTGGGTATTTTTTTAAAAATCATAATCGCACCCTCGGGCAACCAAAATCACAACAGGGCATTTTTTAATTTTAAAAAGGGAAAGGATTTTTAATTTTTTTCGTCAATTTTTCCTTTTTTCCCAGAAATTTTACCAAAAGGGACCGGGGTATCTCATTTAAAATTTTTATTATTTTTTTCTTTTAACTAATATCATGTAAAAAGATTTCTTTTTATTTTTTTTAGAAAAAAATTTAAAAAAAGGCCCAAAAAAAAAAAAATCCGTAAAATTTTTTACTATGGGCGCACCCGGGACAAATATTAAATTTTAAATTTTTTTGAGCGTTATAATGGGGACTTTGTTTTTTCAATATACTGAATCAAAAAGGGCATTAATCCTTTTAAATGGGGTGGGTCCAATTTACGCCCGACTTTATTCGGGCGCGGGGTTTACTCCTTTCCAATCAACCCCCTGTTTTTTCCAAATTTTTCGTCAAAAAAATAGCAAAAACCAAAAAGGCACTAATGCCAAACCCATCAAATATTCCCAAAAAATTTTGCGGGCTGTCTTTTTATTTCCCAAACGAAGAAATGGTTTATAGACAAATTTTGGGATACTTTAAATATTTTTGGGTATTTTTTTCCCCATTGTGACCCTTTTTTTGCACCCAGGGGGGGGCGATATATAAGTGGAAAGAAAAATAGGTGCAAGCAATTTTTCCCATTTTTTAAATTTGCCCCACTACTAATTTCTGGGTTCATTTGTAGGGGTTTTTTGGTTTTACAAAA